ACTCGTGTGTGAATACACTCGAGTGTGTATTCACTCGAGTGTCTCCTTGCTCAAGCAAGAGTGAGTGGTGCTGTGGTTATCATCTCCATTCGTGGCCCTGAGTCATTGCTGGAAATTGCACATTCTGATGGCGGAGGGTTAGTCTCTCGATAGGTCGATCAAAACTTCACCTAAACTCATCTGGCCCAGCATTATTGCACCTTATTTCCACCAATGTAAGATCTGCAATCAGCATCATGAATCAAACCCTGCCTACTATCCCAGCACTTAAACCAACAGTGGCATTAGAAATACATTGTGGAGCTGGACTTTTACCTTCAGCTTTTATCTCTAATAAGAACTCCATTGGCGGTAATGATCACTGTGCTGTATCCATTCCTAAATAGGGTCTCATATATAAAGATAGCACATGAAAGTGCATTGAAACATGAACTGCGTGAATTACTAAACGAATTTTTTTTAATACATCTAAATATTGATACATTTTTTTATTTTAATCGAGAACTATATTCGTGCGTGATCACATATTTGAAAACTTTCCGTTAGTTTTTCTTAAACCCTGACTATTTGATTTATATTGTTCATCGGCTTGAGTTTTTTTCAAAGATATGTTGATGTAGTTTATTCATATTGAGTGCATCGTAACATGTAAATAATCCAGAGATCTTCAGTTCGCCACGGTGGTGAGATGTTAACTACCTCACCTGGTATACAGGAGTACATGGGTTCGATCCCGACTCTGAGGCCTGTATATTTTTACTTTGCATGTTCTCTCTCCCTGTGTCGCATGGATTTTTCTCCAGATCCTCTGGTTTTCCCTCCACATGCTATATATTTCCGAATGATAAACCATTTAGTTGAGCTATTATTTGTGGCCAGGTCGCTCCTGAAAAAGAATTCTATAGCTCAGTAGGTCTTACCCGGTAAAATAATAAGTATAACCCGTAAAAACAAAGTTTTTCACTATAAATCCTTTATATGCGTGGCGGCTAGAGTCCTCTCATCCTCTGGCTTGAGATGGCTGCCACCTATGGGTCAGATGATTGTCTGCCAGTATTAAGCAATTGGTAATTAAATATTTAATTTGTTTTCCTCTAAACAGTGTAAAATTTTGGAAAAAAAATTTCACGAACATTAATTGTCTCGCACAACGAGTCTGTGTGCAAAATGTCAGCTCGATTGGATCACGGGAAGTGGGTTAAAAAACGACCGAAAGATTTGCACGGTCGTAAGCAAGCACGCAAGCAAGCAAGCAAGCGAACTTAATATAAAGGATTTAAAAATAGTTTAGTTTTTATTTAAATTTCCCAGCGCAGTAGTTGAACCCATGGTGCAAATGTACGTAAATACGCCTCCCACCCTGTCCATCCAGATATATAAATGAATACTCCATGGCTAGTTTATCGGCAGGCGGCGTGTGGTGGGGTAAAGTATCGGTACTTCCACCACTTCCAAGTCGTCTGGCCAGTGTGAAAGAGTAGGCCAAATACCCTCGAGATGGGCTTTCTAACGCTCTCCCGAGTGGAGGCCCTTCTGCCAGCAGTGGAATGAGAAAACTATTTCAGGGCTGCACCTTTAACCTTTCCCTTGCTATCGAAATGGTTCGCAGGCACATGCACGTATACGCATTCGAGACAAGTCTTGCAAATGTAAAGTCCAGTGGTAGTGTGGGTGTGAAAAGCCCGCGCCTTCCCGCTGATATTCTAACGTAGTCTTGTGCATCAAGCCCATGGTGACGGGTCATGTACCGCATTTGAAAGGGAATCCGAGCTGCTAACGGCAGATAACATCAGGTGAGGATTATTTGGGTTCAAGTGAACATGATTGGTTGCGATGATAGCACACAGACAGAGAACATATCCTGCTTACCTAAATTCCTTTTCGCTGCCTACTACCAGCCATCCCGAAACCGTGTTCCCGTTAGCACGTGTCCGCTCTTTTCCTGGTTACTGACAAAACTTCACATCCAAGATTTGTTCAACCATTGCCCTGCAGGTCACAACCACTTCTCGTTTTTCTTTTTTTCCTTCGCACTGCTCCACTTCGGAATTCCCTCGCATCGTTTCGCTTCCTAAGTTGCTCATAATCTTGGTCAATTCAATACACGTACAGGTAGTCCCCGACTTACGAGGGAGATGCGTTACGACGACCCCATCGTAAGTCGAAAATATCGTAAGTCGAAAATGGCCTAGCCTACCCAGGAGTCTTAAAGAATGGTGATAATTTAGCAAAACAGAGCAATTTACAGTACCGTACTGTATAAACTATATGCGTACAGTACATCCCGGCAGCGTCCCAACGTACAGTATCGTACCTCGTACGCTGCTGCGTTTGCCTGCCGCGCGAATTGTTAAATATTGTACAATTTTGTCATATCGATATCGCCATCGTAAGATCGAAATACCATAAGTCGGACCATCGTAAGTCGGGGACTACCTGTATTCCCTTATGCATTGAAGTGTGCTGTTTGTTGCTAGCCACTTGGCATTTTGGGCCTTTGTGCCTGTGCTAAGTAACGGTGATAAAACAAAACAATTCCCATGAACAAATTCGCTACTTGATGCCCTGGCGTGGAGCTTACATTATCAGTGTCTGTTTAAAACTTTTCAGCAGCATCCCGTTATTCAGGTGCCTTGAACTGGAGCGGGAACGATTTTAACTACAACTTAATGATGTTACATCACCAGGCCACTTCAATTTAGCCTGGATGAGCCACATTATTGTGCAACACACGAGTGCATTTGGAAAGTAGTGGAATTCTGTTTGGCAAAGTTCTAGAAGACATCGCGTCCATTGTCTCATCACGTAATTACGCGCATTAAATGCCCCGTTTGGCTGCACGCGGCAAAGGCAGCATTAGTGTGCGTAACTCAAAAACCATTCCGTTGATCGTCAGAGTTGCATTCTGTGTGATCACGTATAAAAGTGCTTATAATTTTATTCTGCCGAGGCAGATATCCAGGGTTTAGCGCGAGTGTGCACTTTGTGTGTCGAAACGTGTGCGCGTTGAAACACTATATGTGTATGCTACTCTTTGGTTCTTTCGGTAAAGTAACGTAGAAAGAAAATAAATTTAATAATGCGTGACTTTACTGAAAGAACCAAAGAGTAATTCCTGCAGTCACGAAAGCTCCTCTATTATGTTCATAATAGAGGTGTTTTTGGGTTAGATCGCGTTCTAACCCCCCCCCCCCACCCAAAAAAAAACACATGGATGATATTGGTCGCGAAAGCCCACGTTTTAAACTCTGTATGTTCTGCATTCCGAAGTTCGGTGGAAGAAAGGCTCATTTAATTTTCATGACATATCCATGTAAATTGCTCTCATAAAATACTTCCACTTTTTGTGTTTAAAAAGCACACGCTCGCTTTTATTGCATCAGCAAGAACATTCTGTCGGGAACAGCGAAATAAATATTTCATTGCACTTTTATGAAATATTTAGAGGATCCAATTATTTTTTAATAACTCTGCATTCTGCGGCCTTGGTCACAGCAGCGGCATTCCATCGACCGGTGTCACGAATCGCTCACATTTTACATTTTTCAAAAAAACAATTCCTGTTGCACGGTGCACACGTCCTCGCGCTCGCCTCTCATGCCGTTATTTATCATGCAAAGGTCATCGCCGCGCGTTCTGGAGAGAGGAGAGCCCACTTTGTCATGGAGAACCTAACCACGGCAGCTCTTCTCCACATCAGTCACCTCCATCACTCGCAGCTAAAGAACTCGGCCCTTGAAGAAACGCACAATCTCTCTCAGTCTCTCTCTGCAAAGCCACCTCGCCACAGCACCCCCCCCCCCCCCACGTACCTTTCCCCCAGTGCGATCGTCAGCAAGGGCTTCCCCTGTTCCCCCGGCCGCTTCTCCGATTCCCTGTACGCGCTGATCCCCAGGAGGGTGGCGACCCGACCCGGCCCACGACCCAGCCGCCTCTAGCACCCGTGAGCGTACGCAGAGGCATGGGGCTCGTCAGCACGGATCATGGCGCTGATTGCACTTGACGTGGCTGCTTACGGCGGAACGGAGGCGCCGGCTGGTGGGGTGGAACCACGGAGTCGGTGGGCGGGAGTCGGCTGGGGGTGGTGGCGGCTGCTGCGGCTGCTGCTGCTGCATCATTGGAGCGCGCGCGCGCTCCAGCCAAGGGTTTAGCTTGGCTGCCGAATTCACGTTGGTGTCTGAAGATAGTTTGAGGTGTCTCTCGAATATCCGGCACGGATTGCGGTGCCGCGCGCATCCTTTCACTGAGCGCCGCTGCGATTCCACTCGTGGGTTACCGCGATTTGAAATTACCCCGCAAAAAGAATGATGACGGGGATTGCAAAGATTTATAAATGAGCGCGAGCGTTGAAGAGAGAAGGTTGAGCGTTCACACGTCACTGCTTGCTGCAATTTCCCTCTGCTGTCCCAGCGTCGGTAAGCACGGTGATTTAAGGAGGCCTGATGACTGCAGTAATGTTTGCCCAGGAGGGCAGTTTCCCTGACACCCTGCTCTCTTGCATGCCTCTAATTGGCCAGGAAGACCTCTTCCCCCACAACGGTAGCCAGCAATAACCACTGCCCAATGTTAACGTTAAGAAGCGAGAACAGTTCGTCTTTTTAACACAACCAAGTTCAAGCGTGAGCATTATCTTCATTTGTAGCATTGGACATGAGCCCTTCTTGAAGCAACCACTTGGTGGATGGAGTTTCATTTATGCCAGATGGGCACATTTAAATGCTTAAGTACCACTAACTCCCAATCCAGAAGTTGTAATTTCAGTAATATACCATATTTTCTAATTATTATCAATTTAAATGTCATTTCTGGCATCTCTCAGATTGCTTTTCACATGTCTGAGTTTTACTCAGTTTGGAAATTAATTCGCCCCAACACAATATAACGAAAATACTTCTTAAAACACATTGCAACCAATTATTTTCACCACACCGAGCAGATTAGCACAACTTGTTACAATCACCGCGGAATAAGCAGCGAGGGGGGGGAGGGGGGTAACGTACCTGGGCCGTCACTCGAACCGGGCGACAGCACGCGGAATCAGCCCGGAGTGTACCCCCCGGTGCCCAGAACGACGCCACTCGATGCAGGCGGAACCCTCGTGCGCAGACGCCGGCGAGTCAGCTAGTCCCGCAGGGCCGCGCACGATCGTCACACCTCGCGTGCCGGCGCTCACGCCAGGGCGGCCGCGTCCTCCGCTGCTGTCGGGAAGTCGTTTTGGATTTTTGCCACAGTAGGAACACCCTCCCCACGACCACCACCACCACCACCACCCCCCCACTCCCCGCCACCATTCCGTCACTGCCAGTGCCCGTGTGACTCTGCTTGTCAGGAAAAGGCTCTGATAAATGTTTCTTGGTTTGACGACACCGCTGCCCTTCCCCACCACCCCCCCCCCCCTTTCTCTCCGCGACCCACCTCGCTCTCTGATGAATAGGCAGCCGAGGCACCCGGACGTCCACACCCACTCGCAGTCACGCTCGCCGAGAACCAGGGACCACCGGCACGGTCTTCAACTCGCTTCTCGTTTCGTTGCGGCAGGCATGTTTTGGCAGAGCTGCACTTTCGTATGGAGGTTTGATGGCGAGACGTCACGGTAATGACAGCGTGCCATTTTTACTGGAGTATAAAGCTCTCCGTAAAAAAAAAAACCGGTGGCTTTTCCTGGCTCACGGCATGTGCTTAAAAATGCAACGCCAGTTTATGCTCTTACACTGCCGTGTCTGTGTATAGAGCTTACAAAATAAAATACAAATGTGTGCACAACAGCTATTATGCCCATGAGGTTGTCGCATTAAAACATCAAACAATGGGGGTTCCAGAGCTGAGTTCTTCTCCAATTCACGTAACCACAGGAAAATGAATTTAATAAACCCGACGCCACGTCCTGGCGTGCAGGTCAACGAGGCGTGCAGGCAATGGGCATCATCACTTCCCCGGACGATGACGGATGCGATGTTTGTGAGTCTGCAGCCAGCATCGGGGGCTGTGTGGCAGCAGTCACCCCGCATATCCCTGCTTCCATTAACTGTTACTCAAAATCACGAGGCGAGATTCTAAGAGCAAAGATTCTGGACATATGAGGGTGGGCGTCAGACCCGTCCTGCGATCGTGAGGCAGTCGTAGAGCAGTAAATACATTGCATTTTCTTAAATCTACGGCCTCTTGCTCTTTACTTACAATGAGGTTTGTACGTGGCAAAGTGTACGAGTGTTGAGGACGTGATAAGGGTTACGTAGCCAAAATGTATTTGCGTTTAACTTATACACTTTGACAGTCAGCAGTGTGTGCAGCCAATATGACAAATAAATGAAACGAAATAATCGCAATAACTTTACATTTCAATAAAGCAAAAACATTCCAGGTCACGTAGAAGCGCAGAGAAAATCTTCACACAAACACGAGGACAATACTCAAAATTCCGCACTGATAGGTCCACTAACCCTCCTGCTCTATCGCCATCTGCTGGCCACCTTGCAGTATTAGTGGGTTTGGGAATTTCACGAATTTACCTGATGCACCAACCCTTGTACTCCAAGATGCCAGATTACATAAGTGTGGCACTACACCCGGCGAACTTTATAGGCCTCAACAAATAACTCTTTAACAATTAAACAATTGGCTTAATTTAATAATGGTGACCTAATGAAACAGTTCTAGATTTGAAGTTTTCGTGACCGCAAGGATCCATACTCTTTGGTTTTGTCGTTAAAGTCACGTAGGTGAAATAAAAAAATAAAAATGAAAACAAGTCAATTAAATCACTTTAATCAATTTAGTTGTTTTCATTTTTATTTTAAATTCCACCTACGTGACTTTACCGAAGAAAACAAAGAATGAAACAGTTCTATAACTAAGACCCGAATGGTTAACAGCCCGTGCAGTTCTTTCGTGTTGTGTTGTGACAGCGAGCCGGTTCCACGTCTATTTAACCAATACTCCACTTTGGGAAGCCATCCGTCACGTCCCCGACACTGCCTCGTCCCTTCTCCCCGCTGGGATTGAATACTTCAGCAGCATTTTAATTACATTACCGTATTACAACGTCAATAATAGGGAAACGCATTAACGGAAGTCAGATCCTAATTTGCAAAAGCGAGTTTCACCTCGCTCTTGAGTGCCGGTGACAGTAAATGAATGACCTGTCTGGTTGAAGGAGCAGCTGTTGATGCATTGGCCCTGGCAGATCTTAGTTCTATTACGCGGGGCTTGTATAAATCACCCGTGTAATCATGCTCCACCAGTTGTACTTTACATAAAAAAAAATTAGAATATTAACTATTCGTCTTTGAGTGCAACCCATGCCACATTGGCTGTGCATATTCATAAATCGTGAGCTCAATTAGCTGGTGGTGCGACATTCATTTACTATGTTTGGTTTTGCCTGAAGCTTCCCTTGACAGGTAATGGGCAGTGTTTATGTGGTGAAAGTCATTTATGAAACTCCATCAAGAACTAAGACCATTCTTGTTATGCCCACGGAGTGTTGTGTGTGGAATGAACCACCGTGAACAACGATAAAGTGCGTCAATTATTTTTAACAAAGCTGGCCGAAGTGCAGTTCGTAAAAGCCATTTTTAAACGAAGCAGCATGAATTTTATTCGCCTAAGAAAATGCAAACACTGTTTGTTAAGCAACACCGACACATTGCAAATATAGCGTTGAAAAATACGACGGTACTGTACGCTTCAGTTTGATTTATTGAGCCACTAAGGAGCACACAACGGCCATTGGATCTGTCGGAAATAATACTCGAGCAGCAAGATGGATGGGAATTATTCTCATGCCATCAGCTGCAGGAAATTACAGGTAGGAGTGGAGTGAGTGGCTGGTTGAGGCCAGGTGCTTAGCCATGACCTGTAATCGGGGGTCTCACTGCGGCTGCCTGTGTTGCTGCTGCTGTCCCTGAAGTCACCTGACTACACTTGAACCTCCTCCGAGTCCTGGTCGTGACGCTTGCACCCGCATTCTGCCTCACCCGCCATCTCACATTATTCGAAATCTAAATGTCCATGCTTTGTGGGTTTAGCGGTCATGTCTCCATAATTGTATCACATTACATCCTGCACTTTGGAGGAGTGGTTTGTGTATCACCTTGATGAGCGCTGAGGTGAGATCCTGCCTCGTCTATCTGGATTTTTGAGTGTTATCTCTTAAAGTGCCTGGATTTATTCTCGTTAGTCCAGTTTCCACATCACACATACAAAGTCGGTAACGAATCAGCAAAACATCCCAAGCTGGGGCTTCCTAAAAGTATCATGGGACTCAGAGACAATGTCCAGGTTGTAGATTGTTATATATTTATCAAAATACAACATCGACAGTACATATTTCCACGCAAATTATTTTTGCATTCATATATGAAAAACAGATGTTATTGTGTATCCTTATAATTATTGATTATCGGCGTCCCTTGGACTGATGGCACATCATCTCCATTCTCTCTCACCTGGATGATAAGGTTTGGTAGAATTGTGCGCACACGTATATCACTTGCGTTTCAAGGAATGTTGTGGGTATATTTTGACATTTAATTAGTTTTTTATTCTGAAAACGAAGGGCTCGCAAGAACAAAAGGTGGTGATGGTGATCTATCACATTTTTGACGTAAAGCTTTCGTGACTGCAGGAATTCATATTCTTGGCTCTTTCGGTAAAGTCACGTAGATGGTTGAAAGAAAATAACAAAAAACGACGACGTTTCGATCGCAACACAAGCGATCGTCATCAGGAGAAAATTACTCTTTCCTCCTGATGACGATCGCTTGTGTTGTGAAATATAGCTATATTTCTTCCTGCCTCAGCAGTCCGCCTGCTGTATTTTTTCACCCGAAGACGATTGCTTGTGTTGCGATCGAAACGTCGTGATTTTATTTTATTTTATTATTTTTCTATCTACGTGACTTTACCGAAAGACCCAAAGAGTATGAATGCCTGCAGTCACGAAAGCTTTAAGTCAAGATTTGTCATCTCAATGTTGCGCCGACAATTTGTCCAACGGTTCCATCCACATACCAACGTAGGCCCAGCGTCGCATGTTTACTGGAGAAATAAATGAATCACGTCACATCCGAATAATCCGGTTTTGATTATTTTAAGTAGATAAAAGACAAACATTTAAACAGCAACGAAGCTGAGTATGCGAACACTGAATGCATGAAAGAAAAAAACACAAGTGATGAATTATTCTGATTGTTGGCAATTCCTGAATGTCGTGTATCATTTTGCAAAACCTGAGTGTGAGGAACATTTTTGAATAGACACGGGGAATGAATTTTAGGCTCAGCTGCACTCCTCGTATTGCCATGAAATTAAGGCGTAAATCATATTCGTTTGTGTCCACAGTTGCACTCAATTACGAAACACAAGAAAGCAAAACAAACGGTGCGGAGGGAAAATGTGATGGGAGGGTGGTAGGGGGCGGGTTCTAGACTCCAAACAAAGGCAGCTTCGGGAGGAAATGACCGCAGTGGCGGCCGCGCTTCGCCCGCCAGTCAAGACAGCGCGAGCAAAGGTCCAGGCTACCTCCGGCTAATGTCAGCAAATCGCTTGCACGTGTGACCCAGAGAGGCGAGGCACGCGCGCACAAACATCACAGCCGCGGACCCGTGGCCACGGCCCCGTGGCCACGGCCCCATGCCAATTACAGCCGAGAGTCACCTCCGCCCGCCGGAACGGTTCGCTGTGTAAACCAGCGCGCATTTTTTTTTTCGTTTTATTTCCCAACGTTTGCTAATTACTGTAACCAACGTTGTGCCGTCGGCCGTGGTGGTGCTGGTGGAGGCCGAGGGTGGCTTTTGTACACGCGCGCGTGTGTGTGTGTGTTACTGTAATTCTTCTAAAAAAATTATATCTTACGAAAGCCATGCGTTTTGGTCGGAAAACAAAGAGCTTAAATTTTAATGGCTGGCTGGTAAATTATGTTTTGCTGTTTGGCAGTGTTTATATGAATGGAATGGTCCTAAATCGCTCCAGATGTGGAGGGTGCCACAGGTTAATACTCCTCATTATGTGACTTGCTTGAGAGTGATTCACTGCGAAATGTAACGTGCAGAAAAAAATAAAAATAAAACCGTCGTGTTTTCTCTTCTTTTTGCACCCCGCATTATATTAAGCACATGAAGATGCACACTTGTGCACGTGCGTGCAATCGGTGAAACTGCATGCGGCGTAATGCATTACAAACACAGATATCCAGCCAAGAGCATAAAGTGTGGGTGTGTGTGATATTGTGGGGAGCGGTAGTGTAGCTGTTAGCGGGCTGCGCTACGAACCTCGTCACCCGCTCACGGTGATGATTATCTGAACTCGTCCTGGGTCTCCCCTGGGTTGATTCAGCCTCAAATAAGTACCTTGTGCGATGTGTAAACATTACCACGAGGGAGACAAAGGCGGGCCGGGCGTAGTGTTGGCCACCTACCCCCTC